GATGCAATAATCTATTTCCAGAAGCATTTCTAGAGATGGGTTGGATACCTTTTAAAATGCAGGTGAGTGTCAGAGAGACTAAAAAAATGAAGAGTCCCTGTGGATATTCCAATCCACAAATGTGCAGGTCCCATTGTGTAAAATGGCATAAATAAGATGACAAAACCAAAGTTTGCTTTTGGGAAATTAAAAAAAATCAAGCTATAAATGCCATGGCTGAACTCATGCATACAGGGGGCTGATTGTTGCCCCATCTACACAGACATATAATCCAATTTCTGATTCCATATTATCTGCTTTGAACTGGGTTATATGGCACTGCAGACTCATATAATCCAGTTTAAAGCAGATAATATGGATATAGAAATTGTGCAATTTGGCAAAAACCTATGCCATTTTCAGTGCCAACCCATGCCATTTTCAGTGGTCTGTTTTTGGCATCCCCTGTTCCATTTTTAGGGATCTTCCCAAATTCAGGAGGGGTTTCTGTTTTCATGCTTGAAAGGTTTGGTCCATTAGTGCCAATGGGGAAATTTTAGAGCCTAATTTCTCTGTCATTTGTAGGCCTATCAGCATGAAACTTGCCTCACTTATAGGCCATATATTCTATTGCAAGCCTGCCGAGTTTCAGGATATTTCACCAAATCCACTAATATTTTGGAATTTTTTTTTAAAAAATTCCATAACATTTCTTGGAAAACACAATAGGGAGTTCTGAGAATTGAAGTCCCAAGCAGGCGGCACCAGAGGGGAGGAGAATGGATGGACACAGTCAACCAGTCCTCTGATTAGCTGAGAAAGGAAGTGTAAAACACAGAGAGAGGAAAACCTCAACTCCCATCATGCCCTGTGAGGGAGCACATGCCTCCTTCAATGCTTGTGACACAAGTGCTGCTGGGAAAGTGAATTCCCATTTGCCTCAAGCAGCCATGGGGGGGGGGGGGGACTTTGGGAAGGGATAGAGGAGGCTGCCAAGGAAGAAAGCAAAGGAGGAGCAGCAGCTTTCCCGATTAGTGAAGCTGCCCTGCCCACATGTCACCGCTGCCGCCTCAGGTAGAATGCTGCTCAGCCCCATTGGCCCCCATTATTAGTCCCCATTAGATGAAAACATCTGGTTGCTATGATCTGTACCAGCTAAGCCTTTGGCTGCCTTGCACCAGGCTCGTTTTCATAAATTCAAATCCACCGAATCATTTGAATCTGGTACACAAAAATGAAATTTTGCACACCACCATGGTATAGATTCTTGGCTACAGTATAAGAAAGCTTGGAACACTAGAAAACATATTTAACATTTTCTTACTGATACATGTTGACTGGCTTAGTTTTTTGCCTTTTTCCCCATGGAGGAAATTTGCCTGAATCAGCAGATTCTGTTCTGAAAGGTTTGCTCACTGTTAAACATGACCGTAATGGCTGCTCTTTTTCGTTTCAGCCACATTGCTGTGGATGAAAGCCAGTGGTACTCAGTTGTGGATCTCCATGCTTAATTTCCTTCTGCCCCATTTGACGTACAAATTGGCATGGCTTTAAGCATATCATCTCAGTTGCCTGTGCCCTCCCCCTCCAAATCATTCAGCCATTAATAATTAAGGTAGACCTCTGATTGAGCAGACAACAATCATTAGGGAATTTCAGCTTTCTTCCTTAAGATGTACTGATTTGGGCATGTTGGTTGACAGAGATGTATTTAATGTGTTTCTATTAAATTGCTCACTTTAATTTGTGGGAAATTCTCCATGCAAAATTATTGTGAAACATATTTTTCAATTTTTAAAAGGATTTCAATTGATATTTTGTTCATAAAAGCAAATCTGTGGATATTCTATGCAGTATCCTCTAAATTTCTTGGAAACAATTTCAAAATGCAACAATTCAGCAATTGGACTCAATAGTGCAGATCAGTTTGTGAGCCCCAGTTCAAGGCGACCCACTCATTCAATTGCTGGACGCTGACAATATTTATATAAAACCTACTGGTTTATTTGGTCTACTCTAAGTGGCAAAAACAACTGGATGTAACAATCAGATGAAGCACATCCCATTCTTCATTCAATATATAGCTGCCCCATACTGTCCCAAAAAGATGGGTCACTCAAAGGTGTGACTTGATTACAAGCTGCAGGATGAATTAATTAATTGTTGATTGGCCTCTTTTGTTACTGTGGTAACAAATTCTAATCAAATACACTTTTAGGGAGGAAGTCAATGAGCCTGAAAATTCATGTAATTTGAATGGGTTGCTCTTCTGCAGCTGTATGCTGCAGCAATAGACCGCAGCCCTGACAGAATGGTCGTCTGCAGCAGAATTGCAGAAGGTTGAGTTAGACAAAAATCTGGTTGTTTTGCTTCCCAGAAGAATAATTTTTATTTCACAAATCTGAACATGTGTTTTAGGATCTTATATTCCATGTATTTTGACATGATTTACTGCTTGAACTTTTTTTGAGTTGTATTTTTTACATGTGAAGCCAATGTTACTCTTAGCAACTAGCAATCTTGAATAGTAAATATGTTACATCAAATTGCTGCTCAATCCACCCATGGAGTTGCATGATCTGTGTGGCACAACTTTGAAGTACAATCCTGTTGATTATTCTGTGCATTATTGTTTATTATAATGCAATGTTTTATAGTATAAGCCTCTCCTAAATACAGAGACATAATTATCTTGCTTTCAGTTGTGGTTGCTCCTAGATAAATGCATGTATGATTGAAATGTTATTCCCTTATCTACTCAGAAATAGGTTCTGTTTTCAGCAGGACTTGGTTTCAGATAAATCTCCCTAAGATAGAGTTAGTAGTTATATATGCTACTTTTTGTATTTAAACATCGGTATTTAAACTCAATTTGTACTGACATAAATTCTTTGAAATTCATTGTTATGCCTATGAGACATATGTATTAGGAGCAATGCTTAAAGTGCCAAATGATATATTATAAGTGTAATTGTCAGAGGAATGTTCTTAGGCTCAGTCCACAAAATGAGTCATAGGAAATGCTAGGGATTTGTATTTTATAAAGTGAGAGAACTGAAGCACAAGGGTGACCTGAATCATATATCATAAGATAGACACTAGCAACTCTCCACTATCTGAGAGCTGATTTTTTTTTTTATTGCAGCCACTCTACACAGCAAGCTTAACATGGACTCTTCCACTCTGTGGCTTGTTTTCATGTTTCATTTGCATTTATTGGCTGCATGTTAACAAACCAAATGGGGATCAACTGTTTAGTCACACATTTTATAAGGAAAATGGTTGCGATTATGTAATTTTCAACTGTGAAACATGCATTTAAAAGCTCAGATTAGTTATGATTGTGGAAAACATACACAAAACAAGCAAAAAAACCCTAACCTTGTAATCTTGTGGTCAAAATTAATTGAACTCATTGGGGAAGCATTTAGGATCACGCTGTTAAAAATATGATGTATATATTGTATAGTATTTTATAGCCCTACTGGTTCAGTTAAGTTCATAAACAGCTGTTACTACCCATATGATTGTAGTGAGGAGTTAGCCATAAAAAGGGATGATCATTCCCTCAAAAGTGTTTTTCTGTGTCTGTGTGCATGCATCCGTGTCTGTGTATGCCTGAGAGAGAGAGAGAATGTGTACGCAGGTGTGTGCATGCGTACACATACTCTCTCTCTCTCTCAGTGTGTGAGAGAGAGGGTGTATGAGAGAGAGATTGAGAAAGAGAGAGAGAGAGAGATTACTATGGTTGGTTGCATTAGAAACCACCCTGCCATTAATCCTTGCTAAAATATCACACACATCACAGTGCAAGATATTAAAACAGGCTCCCCTGACCTCAGAATTCTGACTCAAGGAAAGATAGCATGAGGACACTTTAAAGACTCAGAAGAACCCACCATCTTTTGAATTGCCACAACAGCTTATCTACAACGATCCCGCTTGGCTGAAGGCTCAACCTCTACATGAATAGGATATCCTTGAATCTACTGTTGGTTTACCTATCTGGGGAAGCGAAAGATCTACCTCCCCACTCCGAGGATCATAAATTACTATCCCCTTAGGGAGAAGAGGGGGGAAAGCTGTCTTCTGGAGGATGTGTGAGAAAAACAAGTGGGGCTGGGCAGGCATGTAGCCGGGGGGGGGGCTTGAGGGGCTTCGCCCCCCCCTCCCAAATTCTCATGGTGGTTCGCGAAAAGGCCTTACTGGTGCATTATTTAAACTGTTATGTTTATTCATATCATGATCTGATCACCATACTCAATATATCCCATATGCATGGGGGTATTGGGGTAACTATACAAAAGGTTTGCTAGGGTAGACCCTCTTTCACTCAGACTCAGCCCCCCCCCCTCCTCGAATCGAAATCCTGGCTACGGCCTGGGGCTGGGTTTTGGAGAGGCAGTCCATTCTGTGCAATGAAAGAAACCACCCCTTGTGTGTATGCGCATATGCATTGGCGAGGGAAGATACCACACTGGCTGAGGTTTAGCGGGGAATCTCCAACGTAGTCGTCGTAAGTGCAATTAGGCACTCTGAAGGGGGAAGAACTCCTTGGTTACAGAGCCACCACCATAGACAGCTATCTCGTTAAGGAAAAAGGGTCTGCATAGTGTCAGGGTGACGGTAGTTCAGCACTTGGACAGCTCCCTGGATTTAGAAAGCGGGACTGGGCTACGCAGTTCAACACCCGGACAACTCCTTTGCTGGAGGAAAGGGGGACTTCGCCACATAGTTCAGCACTTGGACAGCTCCCCACGTTGTCGAAGGAGACGGAGTCCAGCACTTGGATAGAACCCTCGCTAAATGAAAGGGGAGGGCGCCGTGTTGTTCAGCACTTGGACAGCTCCTGTGGGTTGATTAAGCGAGACCGAGCCGAACAGTCCAGCACTTGGACAGCTCCTCTGCTGGAGGAAAGGCGACCGACCCTACCGTATAGTTCAGCACTTGGACAGCTCCTTTGCTGGAGGAAAGGCGACCGACCCTACCGTATAGTTCAGCACTTGGACAGCTCCTTTGCTGGAGGGAAGGGACGGCGCCGCGCTGTACAACACAACTCCCCCCCCCCACCCTCTCGTCAGACGCTATGACTCCCAACTTGACAAAGTGATCGGAGCTCATTCGCTGGGAAGCAGCAGAAGGCGGCAAAGAGACATTCCCCTCTCCACTTCCCAAATCACGCTTTTCCCCATCCCTTGGCTTCTTCCATCGCAGACTTTTCTGGGAAGCTTGGACCTCAGGAGGCGCGGAACCATGATGCCCCCCAGCCTGGGACCCTGGACGCTGCTTCTGTTTTTCTGTGAGTACAGGATTCTTACCAGCTGCAGCAGGTTTCCTTCCTCCTCTCCCCCTCCCCAACCCCCAGCTTCACTTTCTCCTCCACTCCCAATTAATTTCCCTTCCTTGTTATTGTAGGTTTTTTGGGCTGTATGGATGCCTGCCATAGATCCAGGCGAAATGTCAGGAGAGAATGCTTCTAGAACATGGCCATGCAGCCCGAAAAACCTACAACAATCCAGTGATTCCAGCCATGAAAGCCTTCGACAACACCGTTTCCCTTCCCTTGTTCAGTTCTTCTGAGACACAGGAAAGAATAAGCCACGATTTGTGTGTGTGTAGCCCCTTCCACACAGCTGAATCAAATCCGACATTTTCTGCTTTAAACTGGAATATATGGCAATGTGAAGAAGAAGAAGAATAACAACAACAACAACTTTATTTTTCTACCCCACCTCCGGGGGGGGGGGGCTTACAAGGGGCCCAAGACTAAGGCAGAATACATTTTTTTAAAAGCAATAATAATTAAGACAACATAAAACAGCGTAAAACAACATAACAACAATAGCTAGCAACAACAATAACAGCAGACTAATTTTGGAGGGGGGGGGCAGTTCAAAGCAGATATTGTGGGATTTTCTGCCTTGATATTCTGGATCACAGGGCTGTGTGGAAGGAACCTGAGTCCACACTGCCATATAACCCAGTTCAAAGCAGATATTGTGGGATTTTGTGCCTTGATATTCTGGCTCACAGGGCTGTGTGGAAGGACCCTGAGTCCACACTGCCATATAACCCAGTTCAAAGCATATATTGTGGGATTTTGTGCCTTGATATTCTGGGACATAGGGCTGTATGGAAGGACCCTGAGTCCACACTGCCATATAACCCAGTTCAAAGCAGATATTGTGGGATTTTCTGTTTTGATATTCTGGATCATAGGGCTGTGTGGAAGGACCCTGAGTCCACACTGCCATATAACCCAGTTCAAAGAAAATATTGTGGGATTTTGTGCCTCGATATTCTGGGTTATTTGGCTCTGCGGAAGGGCCCTGTGTCTATGTAGGAATAAAACGAACCACTTTGATTATATAGCTTGAAGACACAGATTTGATCTGGGAAACAATCCAGGGGCCCTTCCACACAACCCAGAATATCAAGGCAGAAAATCCCACAATATCTGCTATCTGGGTTATCTGAGTCCACACTCAGATAATGTGGGATTTTTCTGCCTTGATATTCTGGGTTATATAGCTGTGTGGAAGGGATCCAGGTCAGGCCCGTTTAGGAGTTGGATTGGGGACCGTCAAGCATTGTGGGCGATATTTCAGGAAAAGGCAGTGGAAAGCCATCCCTGAGTATTTCGCGCCTAAGGAAAACCTGTGAGATGCATTGTGTTGCCTTAAATTGGCAGTCGAAACGACGGCACACACACACTAATATATTTTAAATATGTGCTGTGGAAGGCTTTCATGGCTGGAATCACTGAGGGCTCTTCCACACAGCCCTCTATCCCAGAATATCAAGTCTAAAAATCCCACAATGTCTCCTTTGGACTGCATTATCTGAGTCTACACTGCCATATAACCCAGTTCAAAGCAGATATTGTGGGATTTTCTGCCTTGATATTCTGGGATAGAGGGCTGTGTGGAAGGGCCCTGGGTTGCTGTGAGTTTTCCGTGCTGTATTGGCATGTTCCAGAAGCATTCCTACAGTACAGTTCAAAATGCTTCTGGAACATACAGCCCAGAAAACTCACAGCAACCCAGTCCTTTGAATAGACTGAAATCAACGCCATGCTGCTTAGACCAGGGACAACCACTTCTACTGAGGCAGACGCTTCCTTTTTCAGCTCAGCTCCTTGAGAGTGAACACACAAGCCAACCAACCAAACTTCTTCTCTCCAACAGATGCACCACCGAAGAGCATGGCCGAGCAAGAAGTGGAGAACCTTTCGGGGCTCTCCCAGGACCCCGAAAAGGCCATTTTTGTCGTCCGCGAGAACGGCACGACTTGTCTCATGGCGGAATTTGCCGCGAAGCTGATCGTCCCTTATGAGGTGTCGGCCAGCAATTTTGTGGATGTAAGAGCCTCTCAAGCTTTTCTTCTCCCCTCCGGTGTGGGATCTATGGAATCCGCTCCTAAAAGAGAATCGGGTTGAATGTAGAAAGAGAGAGAAAGAGAGAGGTGATGGATAGAAACATCTAGGAACAGTATTCGAAGGACAGGAGCCGAATATTTACGGGGAAGGAAATACAACTTCTTTTTCCCTGACGCCCCTTCCACACAGCTGAATAAAATCCCATATTATCTGATGGAATACATGGCAATGTTTACTCAGATAATGAAGTTCAAAGCAGATATTGTGGGATTTTCTGCCTTGATATTCTGGGGCTGTTTGGAAAGGTCCTCAGACCTGGGAAGCTGGATCTACATTGCCTTCTATCCAAGGATCTGATCCCAGATAATCTGATTATCCCAGATCATCTGGCAGTGTAGGGCCCTTCCACACAGCCATCTGACCCAGAATATCAACCCACCAGGCATGTGGGGGGGGGGGGTTGAGGGGCTTCAGCCCCCCTCCCCCCCCCAATGAAATTCTCATGGTGGTCCGCGAGAAGGCCTTACTGGTACATTATTTAGACTGTTATGTTTATTCAAATCATGATCTGATCACCATGCTCAATATATCCCATATGCATGGCGGTATTGGGGTAGCTATACAAAAGGTTTGCTAGGGTAGACCCTCTTTCACTCAGACTCAGCCCCCTCCCCCCAACCAAACTCACCCCCCCCCCCCCCCAACCAAACCCCCCCCCCCCCCCCCAACAAAATCCTGGCTACGGGCCTGCAACCCACAATATCTCCTTTGAACTGCATTATCTGAGACCACACCGCCACACAATCCAGTTCAATGTCGATTTTATGCAGCTGTATGGAGTATGCTTAGTAGACTGGGATCCCTTTTACACCGCCACAAAATCCACATTCTCAAAGCAGATAATCTACATTATCTGGTTTGAACTGGATTGTGTGGGTCTGCACTGCAGTATAATCCAGGTCAATGCAGATAAAATAGATTTTATATGGCAGTGTAGAAGAGGCTTAAAGGGGACCTCATATAATTCAAGCCCCTCCCACGCCACTGAATAAAATCCCACATTATCTGCTTTGAACTGGAATATATGGTAGTGTGGACTCAGATAACTGAGTTCAAAGCAGATATTGTGGGATTTTCTACCTTGATATTCTGGAATATAGGGCAGTGTGGAAGGGCCTTGAGTCCACACTGCTATAAAACCCAGTTCAAAGCAGATATTGTGGGATTTCCTGCCTTGATATTCTCGGTTATAGAGCTGCTTGGAAGGGCCCTGTGTCCACACTGCCATAAAACCCAATTCAAAATCGATATTGTAGGATTTTCTGCCTTGATATTCTGTGTTATACGGCTGCTTGGAAGGGCCCTGAGTCCACACTGCCATAAAACCCAGTTCAAAGCAGATATTGTGGGATTTTCTGCCTTGATATTCTGGATTATAGCAGGGCTGTTTGGAAGGGCCCTGAGTCCCTCAATGAAGCAAAGGATCCATCTCGGATGTGTAGGTAGTGACGACTCATGTGACTGTGGAGCTATTATTATATCCCCAGTCGAAACCTCCCTGTTTTAAACGGGAGTAAGTAACCCTCCTCCCCTCCATCACCATTGGCAGCTGTTTTCCCAAAAGCCTTTGCCAGCCCTCTTTGTTTCTTGCTTTGAGCGTTAGGCAAAGAGCCCAAAGTGAGCCCCTCCCCTCTCCATTTGAGAGGGAAAAAGAAATGATTCCTCCTAAAGAGGAAAGTTGAGGCAGTGACAGACTTTGTATTTCTAGGTGCAAAATTACTGCAGACGCAGACTGCAGCCAGGAAATCAGGAGACACTTCTTGGGAAGAGAGCAATGACCAATCTCGATAAAATAGTCAAGAGTAGAGCAACTATGCATAGTCAAAGCAATGGTATTCCCCTAAGTAACCCACGGATGTGAGATCTGGACCATAGGGAAGGCTGAGCGAAAGAAGATAGATGCTTTTGAACTGTAGTGTTGGAGGAAAGTTCTGAGAGTGCCTTGGACTGCGAGAAGATCCAACCAGTCCATCCTCCAGGAAATAAACCCCGACTGTTCATTGGAGGAAAGGATAGTAGAGGCCAAGATGAAGTAATTTGGCCACATCAAGAGAAAGGAAAGCTTAGAGAAGGCAATGATGCTTGGGAAAATGGAAAGAAAAAGGAAGAGGGGCCGACCAACGGCAAAATGGATGGATGGCATCCTTGAAGTGACTGGCTTGACCTTGAAGGGGCTGGGGGTGGTGACGGCCGACAGGGAGCTCTGGCGTGGGCTGGTCCATGAGGTCACAAAGAGTCTGAAGCTACTGAACGAATGAACAACAAATAGAGGAAAGACTCAGGGCCTTTCCAGACAGGCCCTATATCCCAGGATCTGCTCCCAGATTTTCTGTTTATCTCAGATTATCTGGCAGTGGGAACTCATATAATCCAGTTTAAAGCAGATAACCTGAAATTAGATCCTGTGATACATGGGCCTGACTGTAACCACCATGGCTATTTGATGAGTTATTATGAGACTTGAAGTGTCTTACTTGACCTTGAAGGAGCTGGGGTGGTGACTGCCGACAGGGAGCTCTGGCGTGGGTTGGTCCACGAGGACACAAAGAGTCTGAAGCGACTGAACGAATGAACAACAAATAGAGGAAAGACTCAGGACCGTTCCAGACAGCCCCTATGTGCCAGGATCTACTCCCAGGTTTTCTGTTTATCCCAGATTATCTGGCAGTGGGGACTCATATTATCCAGTTTAAAGCAGAAAACCTGGAATCAGATCCCGGGATACAAGGGCCTGTGTGGGAGGACCAGCCACACTGTATCAACCATGGCTGTTTGGTGGGTTATTGTGAGACTTGAAGTGAAGGAGCTGGGGGTGGTGACGGCCCATAGGGAGCTCTGGTTTGGGCTGGTTCATGAGGTCAGGAAGAATTGGAAGCAAGCGACTGAATGAATGAACAACAAATTGTGAGACTGCTAGCCTTGTCAGCAACCTACGAATCCCAGAATCCTGTAGCATTGAGTTCCAAGCGGTGTCAAACTTGTGTGATTGATTCAGCCAGAAGCAGTAGTAGAAAACGAGTTGGGGGTGGGGAGGGATAAATGAGAGCCCTGCTACGCATCTCTCTCTAATCCCTGTCTCTCTTTGGAACGCTCACCAAAGGGTGAGGGATTTTTGGCCCGCCTGGATTGGAAACAAAACACCTGGGAGGAGGATCATTGCTTGCGTTTGAAGCGCTTTGCCTTGTCTTCCAGACGATCACCGAGCAAGCCTCCATCCCGCTTTCCCGCGGGGCCGAAGAGCGAGGGAAGTGCGGCACCAACGAGTCCGAGCTCCACCTCTCCTGGCTGGACAAGGCCTACACGCTCCGGCTTTACTTCCTCAAGGTAAACGCAAGGCCAGGCTTTCCAAAGAAAGAAGGCTCTACACCAGGCATGGGCAAATCTCAGCCCTCCAGGTGTTTTGGACTCCAGCTTCCATAATTCCTAACAGCCTACCGGCTGTTAGAAATTGTGGGAGCTGGAGTCCAAAACACCTGGAGGGAGGGGCGAACTTTACCCATGCCTGAAGCATCTAATGCAGCTATAACGCAGATCCAGCCTAGGTCCAAAAGGGGATGAGTATTAGTAGGCGACAAGGGGAGGCTCGCTTGCCCAGAAGCCTTCTCACTGGCCTTTTTTTCGCCCCCCCCCCCCCCCAACGAGCAGGAGAGCCGCAACACCAGCGCGGGTCCCGAGTCCTGGTGGAAGATGAGCAAAGTCCAGTTCTCCTACGACAGCTCGGAGCGCACCTACTTCAAGGCCGCCGTCAACCGTAAGTGAAGCAGAACAACATTGGGGGGGGGGGGGGGTGGCAATTCGGGGGAGAAGGACAGTTCCATGGGACTCTTGATTCAATGTGTTTATGTGTGAGAGTCAACAACACTATGGCCCCTTCCGTGCAACTGAATAAAATCCCACATTCTCTGCTTTGAACTGGAATATATGGGCTCAAAGCCAACCTTAAAAACTCTGGCATAGACACTGAGAACTGGGAAGCCCTGGCCCTTGAGCGCTCCAGTTGGAGGTCAGCTGTGACCAGCAGTGCTGTAGAATTTGAAGAGGCACAAAATGTGCAAACCCCGACCAGAACGGTCTGCCTTCTCTGAGAACTGGGAAGCCTTGGCCCTTGAGCGCTCCAGCTGGAGGTCAGCTGTGACCAGCAGTGCTGTAGAATTTGAAGGGCTCAAAGCCAACCTTAAAAACTCTGGCATAGACACTGCGAACTGGGAAGCCCTGGCTCTTGAGCACTCCAGTGGGAGGTCAGCTGTGACCAGCAGTGCTGTAGAATTTGAAGAGGCACAAAATGTGCAAACCCCGGACCAGAACGGTCTGCCTTCTCTGAGAACTGGGAAGCCTTGGCCCTTGAGCGCTCCAGCTGGAGGTCAGCTGTGACCAGCAGTGCTGTAGAATTTGAAGAGGCACAAAATGTGCAAACCCCGGACCAGAACGGTCTGCCTTCTCTGAGAACTGGGAAGCCTTGGCCCTTGAGCGCTCCAGCTGGAGGTCAGCTGTGACCAGCAGTGCTGTAGAATTTGAAGAGGCACAAAATGTGCCAACCCCCGACCAGGACGGTCTGCCTTCCACATGGAAACCAATGCCCTCACTGCGGGGGAAGATGCAGATAAAGAATAGGGCTCCACAGTCACCTACGGACCCACCCACAGTACACTGATCATGGAAGACTATCCTACTCGGACAAGGAGGGATCGTCTAAGTAAGTAAGTATATGGCAGTGTGGACTCAGATAACCCAGTTCTAATCAGATATTGTGGGATTGTCTAGGTTTGATATTCTAGGTTATATGGCTGTGTGAAAGGCCCCTATGTAAACGACATTTGAAACATTTTCTGTTCCTGGTTTGAGAGTATTCTTTCCTGTTTAATTGTGCCATCCTTACTTGGAAAGTCCCTGAATAGACTCAGATACGGAGTGGGCAGATCAAAAGACAACCTGGCAAAATGGCACTACCTAAAAGAACCATCCACTTTGTGTGACTGTGGAGCAGAACAGACAACTCCATGCTTGTCTGCAATGTCCTGCCTCATGCACAGAGGAAGAATTGTTTGAGGCTACAGACAATGAAGTCGCTTTGTTGTTGTTTAGGAGAAAAGGCCTCCAGAACATGGCCATATAGCCCGAAAAAACCTACAACAACCCAGTGATACATTTGTTGTTGTTGTTGTTTTGTCAGGAGTGACTTGAGAAACTGCTTCTGGTGTGAGAGAATTGGCCGTCTGCAAGGACGTTATCCAGGGGACGCCCGGATGTTTTTGATGTTTTACCATCCTTGTGGGAGGCTTTTCTCATGTCCCCGCATGGGGAGCTGGAGCTGACAGAGGGAGCTCATCCACGCTCTCCCTAATTCGAACCTGCGACCTGGCACAAAGGTTTAACCCACTGTGCCACCGGGGGCTCCATTGCAGTCGCTGTTGCCCGTTTTTTGGTCAAAAAATATTTAGCCACTTGTTCTCCTTCTATTTTTATCAGTTTTATACTAATTTTCATACGAAATAAATAACTCGGAAAGTCGTTGTTCGACTCCAGAAACTTCCTTTTTGTGGCTGACACAAACTAGATTGAATCGGTAGGGAAATTATAGCAAAAGGTGCTGCATTTTGTCCCACAAAAACCCCCCAAAGTTTTTGCAGTTTAATCAATTTTGTCCATTATTTATGATAGAACCAATTGGAAAATGACCTTTATTATCCAGTGACAGAAATTATATAGTGTTACATAGTGTTTATCAGCAGGAGCAAGGCTGGAGTGTACCTACTCTGTTGTGACACTGCTTTACCTGCTATGACTCAGTGCTTTGAACTCCCAAGGCTCCTTCTACACTGCCATATAAAATCCAGATTATCTGCTTTAAACTGGATTATATGAGTCTACACTGCCATATAATCCAATTCAAAGCAAATAATAATAATAATAATAATAATACTTATTATTGGGCTGCTGTGATTTTTCCGGGCTGTATGACCATGTTCCAGAAGCATTATTTCCGGATGTTCCCCCCACATCTATGGAAGGCATCCTCAGATGTGAGGTCTGTTGAAAACTAGGCAAGGGGGGTTTATATATCTGTGGAATGTCCAGGGTGGAAGAAAAAACTCATGTCTGTTGGAGGCAAGTATGAATGTTGCAGTTGGCCATCTTGATTAGCAATGAATGGCCTTGCAGATTCAAAGCCTGGCCGGTTGCTGCCTGGGGGAATCCTTTGTTGGGAGGTGTTAGCTGGCCCTGATTCATTCTTGTCTGGAATTCTCCTCCTTTTTGAGTGTTGCTCTTTATTCATTGTCCTGATTTTAGAGGGTTTTTTTTAAAAAAAATACTGCTAGTCAGATTTTGTATTATTATTATTATTATTATTATTATTGTATTATTATTATTATTATTATTATTATTATTATTATTATTATTATTATTCCCTGCTTTATCTCCCCTGAAGGGGACTCAAAGTGGATTAACATAAAAGCATTAGCAGAACAATGTAAAATATACAAATATACAAATAGTGTGGGCCTGAGAGTTGTGGTTTGGTGAGGCATCAGCATACATCCTCAGAGAAGGCTTAAGGCCTTGTGCTATAGCTGCCATGATTCCATAGCTTTCAAAGAGGAATATTCACTTATATATATACTAGCCATCCCCTGCCACTCATTGCTGTGTTCCAGTCTGTGTATATGTGTTTTGTGTGTGTATATATTTGTGTATATTTGTATATATGTGTGTTTACATGTATATATGTGTGTGTGTGTTTGTGTGTGTGTGATTTTGCACATGCGGTGTAATGTATTTTTGTTTTTTGGCTTTTAAAATCTATTCTGCTGTGTTTTTCAGTGTTTTTATGAGTGATGGTCACTTGTTGGCCTGATATGTGTATTGTGTCCAAATTTGGTGTCAATTCGTCCAGTGGTTTTTGATTTATGTTAATCCCACAAACGAACATTATATTTTTATTTATATAGCTAAAGAGAGAGAGAGAGAGAGCCATTGTTAGCATTCTGTAAATGGCCGGAATCACTGAGTTGTTGTAGGTTTTTTCAGGCTATATGGCCATGGTATAGAGGCACTCTCTCCTGACGTTTCGCCTGCATCTATGGCAAGCATCCTCAGAGGTAGTGAGGTCTGTTGGAACTAGGAAAAAGGGTTTATATATCTGTGGAATGACCAGGGTGGGACAAAGGACTCTTGTCTGCTGGAGTTAGGTGTGAATGTTTCAACTGACCACCTTGATTAGCATATAATGACCATTAATAGTTAAGGAGGGGTATGTGTGTGTGTTGCATGGTAATCATAGTTGTAATAATAAGACATTAGATTTCGAATTGTGACTAATATTGTAGAAACCCAGTGGGAAGTGAGGGCCCTTCCAGACAGGCCCTATATCCCAGGATCTGCTCCCAGGCTGTCTGTTTATCCCAGATTATCTGGCAGTGTGGACTCATATAATCCAGTTTAAAGAATAAAACCTGGGATCAGATCCTGGGATAGAGGGCCTGTCTGGAAGAGCCCTCAGAGACGTATTAATTTGTCCCAAACTGCATTCCCGTGACAGCCAAAACCTGCTTAGGATTTTAAGGGAGAAGGGGAAGCCTTTGCAGACCTATAGATTGGGATTCTGCCCCATTCCCTTGCCTTTCCCCTTCCGTGACAAGCCTGTCTCTTGCCTAGGCCTGCCCAAGCCTTGTCTCAAGTCCGCACTGCGGCGAAAACTCTTCCTCCTGTTCCTCCTCCTTCTTCTTCCTCATCCCTTCTCTCTGGGATCCCCTTGGTCTCTCTTCCCCTCTTGCCTTGGTGCAGGAGAGTGTTTAGTCAATAGCCACCCTTTCCTCCCACCCTCCAGACTGCGGCAAATGTCGCATTCTTCAACTCTCTCTCCGCCATGGACTGATCTTCCTCTTTGCTGCGGAAATTCCCACAATCTGGCCTCCACCTTTCCCTTTAAGGCTAGGAAGGACAAGATGGGGATCAGTTGAAGACTGGAAGCCCAATGCTTTGGTCTTTTAGGGATTCAGCTCCTTTGTGTCACTCCTAAACCGAAAGGAAGGGTCCAAAAGATTGCTCTAACATTTGGAGCCAAACATAAACTGAGGCCTCTCCCACACAGTTGAATAGAATCCCACACTCTCTGCTTTGAACTGGAATATATGGCAGTTTGGATTCAGATAACCTAATTCAAAGCAGATATTGTGGGATTTCCTGCCTTGATATTATAGGGCTGTGTGGAAGGGACTTGAGCTAAAGTCCAACTGGCAAAGACTCAGCAGTCTGAAGAAAAATACTTTTATTTGGTTGCAAAATGAGTGTGTTTAAGGCAGGGAAAACATGTATGGAAAAATTAAATGAAGCCACAACAAAGCAGCCTTCCTGTGTTTATTAAAGGGATGTGACAAAGGGCCGACTTCTTTTGCACAGTCCACAAGAAATAGATTTCCCCCAGCCCAATTATTATATTATTATTATTATTATTATTATTATTATTATTATTATTATTTATTCACTACTGGACTAAAGCAGCATTTTAAAAATATTGATTTCTACACCCTGAACTGGCAGTCCCAGAAATTCAAAGTTGGTCCCCATTGCCAAACATGTAACTCAATATTTTGTTTCTATCAATAATAATAATAATAATAATAATAATAATAATAATAATAATAATAATTCATTCGAATATACATCACACAGTCCTAGATGCTTGGGAAGTGTTTGACTTGTGATTTTGTGATATGAAATCCTGCATATAGATCTCATTTGCTGTGACATACT